GAACGAGCCAAGTATACTAGCTCACAACTGTAATCCCAGCACTTTGGGAGGCTGAGGCAGGAGAATCACTTGAGTCCAGGTCTAGGAGTTTGAGATCACTAAGGATAATATAGTGAGGCCCGGTTTCTTCAAAAAATAAAAAAATTAGCCAGGTGTGGTGGCATGTGCCTATAATCCCAACTGTTTGGGAGGCTGAGGTGGGAGGATCACTTGAACCTAGGAGGTTGAGACTTCAGTGAGCTGTGATTGTGTCACTATACTCCAGCCTGGGTGACAGAGCAAGACCCTGTCTCAAGAAAGAAAAAAAAAAAAAAAAAAAGAATAAAATCCTATCATTCTCAGCAACATGGATGGAACTAAGGACTGAAGAGACATTTCTCAAAAGAAGACATAAAAATGGTCAAATATATATATATATATATATGAATATATATGTATATAATTAAATTAATTCATTAATTAATTTTTTAAAGACGGAGTTTCACCATGTTGGTCAGGCTGGTCTTGAACTCCCGACCTTCTTGGCCTCCAAAGGGCTTGGATTACAGGGATGAGTCACCATGCTCGGCCCAGTCAAATATATTTTTTAAATGCTTAACATAACTAATCATCAGGGAAATGCAAATCAAAACCACAATGAGGTATCATCTCACCCCAGTTAGGAGGCTATTATCAAAAGACAAAAAGTAGCCAGTGCTGGTGAGGGTGCAGTGAAATAAGCTAGGAACAGGAAGCTAGGAACAGGAAGTCAAACACCACACGTTTTCACTCATACATAGAAGCTAAAAAAAATTGATCCTATAGGAGTAAAAAGTACAACAGAGGTATTAGAGGCTGGGAGGGATAATGGGAAGGGAGGGATAGGGAAAGATTTGTTAAAGGATATAAAATTACAGCTAGATAGGAGGAAAAAATTCTAGTGTTCTATGTCACTGCAGGATGACTATATTTAACAATAATATATAGTTTCAAACAGCTGAGGGGGATTTCAACCTTCCCAATACAAATAAATAATAAATGTTGGAGACAATGAATATGCTAATTACCCTAATCTGATCACATCATACATATTAAAATATCCACTATATATTCCATGAACAGATACAATTATTGTCAATTTAAAAAAAATTAAATTGGCCAGGCAAAGTGACTCACACCTGTAATCCCAGCACTTTGGGAAGCCAAGGCAGGCAGGTCACTTGAGGTCAGGAGTTTGAGAGCAATCTGGCCAACATGGCAAAACCCTGTCTCTACTAAAAATACAAAAATTAGCCAGGCTTGGTGGCAGGCATCTGTAGTCTCAGCTCCCCAGGAGGCTGAGACAGGAGAATCACTTGAACCTGGGAAGCAGAGGTTGCAGTAAGCTGAGATGGTGCCACTGCACTTCAGCCTGGGCGGCAGAGCAAGACTCCTTCTCAAAAATAAACAAATATACAAATATTTTTTAAAATAAAAAATAAATTGAAAAAATTATTTGGTCTTGTGCCGTTTAAGGATATGTGATAATTAGCTAGTTGTTTTAATATGACACATAGTAAAGGATTTTGGTGAACAATTTTTATGTTTATTAAGAACTACAAAGTGGGATTTGAAAGTTTGTGTTTCTTTTTTCTTGAGATAGTGTCTCCCTCTGACACCTAGGCTGGAGTGCAGAGATGCAATCATAAGCCACAGCAGCCTCAACCCACCAGGCTCAAGCAATCCTCCCAACTAAGCCTCCTAAGTAGTTGGGACTACAGATGAGTACTGCCACACTCGGCCAAATTTTTATTTTTGTAGAAGCATTGTCTCCCTCTGTCACCCAGGCTGGTCCCAAACTCCTGGACTCAAGTGATTCTCCTGCATCAGCCTGCCAAAGTACTGGGATTATAGACATGAAGCAATGCACTCTGCCCTGATTTCAATGTTTATCTAGTTAAATCCACACGCTTCTTATGAATGTATTTTATTTAAGGATAATTTTTTTTTTATTAACTGATGAGAACAACTGCTTATTTCCTTGAATGGGTACCACAGCATAGATTCCTAATCTACATTCAAATACTCAGTTTACCAGTTGTTAGAAAGATTCTATGGTAGAAACTCTGGTTGGATATGACTATAATATCTCCCAAATTTGCATATGAGTCCTCATGCAAAGGTAATTTGAAAGCTGGCTCTTTGGTAAATAGCTCTGGGCTTTCATTATAAGTCAAGGGAATCAATTAATTAAAAAAAAGGAGTGGATGAGGCTTGGTGGGTCACACCTATAATCCTAGCACTTTGGGAGTCTGAGGTGGGAGGATCAATTGAGGGTGGAGCTGGAGACCAGCCTGGTCAAAACAGTGAGACTCTTAAGTTAAAAAAAAAATCAAATTAAAAAAAGAAGTATGCCTTAATATTTTAAAAAATTTTACAAATATTATGGATACCTTTTTCCTATTTTAAATTCTCAACTAGAAAACAAACTTCTTGAGGGCATAGACATGAATAATATCTACATAGGGGCCTCTATGTTAGTCATAGTGCCTGAAAGTAATAATAAGTCAATTCAATATACTCATTCATGTGTTTTGCATCGGTTGACTCGTCAAACCTTGTACTATTAATTCCAAAGCTCAAAATTAAGTGCTGTATTATAGGCCTAGAATAGTAAACAAATGGTTTAGGTTTTAATTTACTTTGTATCCTTCCAAATAATCTGGTAAGATTTTCCAAAGAGCTACCCACATAAAGCTTTTTAAAATTAAATTAAGAAATTGTTGTTTGGTGAAAACCTTTAATAGAATTGGTATGGTCCTCAAGGTTTTCAATGTTAAACCTTCATAACCTCATCCTGATCTGCTCATACAGAATACATCCTAAATTATAAACAGCATAATAATGGAGTCAGTCCATGAAAATTGCTGATAGTCAACTACTTATTATCTAGATATTAGGAAGTAAAACCCCAAAATTAAATCCAGAGAAAACATAAAAACCTAAGTTAGGCTCCTGAGCCTTTTACTAGGGCTACTGGTAGGAAAAGAATTGGTGAATTTGATTCTTATTTTTTTTTAGAAGCATAAAAATACCTAACTTTGGCCGGACTCGGTGGCTCACACCTGTTATCCCAGCACTTTGAGAGGCCAAGGCGGGCGAGTCACCTGAGGTCGGGAGTTTGAAACCAGTCTAACCAACAGAGAAACACTGTCTCTACTAAAAATACAAAAATTAGCCAAGTGTGGTGGTGCATGCCTATAATCCCAGCTACTTGGGAGGCTGAGGCAGGAGAATCACTTGAACCTGAGAGGTGGAGGTTGTAGTGAGCCGAGATCTCGCCATTGCACTCCAGCCTAGGCAACAAGAGCAAAACTCCGTCTCAAAAAAAGAACAAAAAACAAACCAAACTTTACTCAGATGAACTTTTTAAATACAGTATAAAGATGTTAGATGGGCATTCTCCATAAATACCACCACTCACCACTAAATTGTACTTGCTTTACAGTTTACTATTTTTCAAAGCCCTTTCATTTTCATCTCATAGATAAATGCCTAGCATTGAGTCCTAGCTATACTTGCTAACAAAGAACTAAGGTTTGGTGTAGAAAGCTCAGGAGAATTTACGGCTCCCAAAAGTGAGTTATTTATCAAATATAGGAGAGTGTTTAATTATGGGAACAAAGAAGCACAATGTCATCAGAAGGGAATGCAGACATAAAGAGAAGGACACGGTGAAGTTTATCTTTACGTTCTAAATTTCATCTGTTAGGCTGGGTAGTCATCCCAGATGATTCTTTATATTTTTCTTTATATCTTTTTCTATTTACAAAGCATTTCACTTTTTTAAGTGAGTTAATGAATTGATAAAGACACAGCCCTTAGTGATCAAAGTAAAGTGAGTCAAGTCCTGACTTCAGTTCTGAAAATCTGTTGCTGAATGACTCACTTTGTGATCCAGGTGCCTCAGTTTCAGTAATACGTGAAAAAAAAAATGCTAAGGATAGTTCATCTAGGAAGTTCTCAGGTGAAAATACCACCTTTAGAAACACAATCTCATTACATTATAAAACATTTGGGAGTGTAACCTATGTTTCCACGCCTTTATGCTTTTTTAAAAAGTCACCCACATTTTTTGTTTCTGAAAAACAAAAACAAAAACAAAAACAAAACTGCAGCCTAGGACTGAACATGTTTTCTGTTGCTCCGTAAATCAAAGTGAAGATATAAATCTTTTGCAAATATTATAATGTCCAGAAATGATTCATAGGCTTTCCCTAGTTTTGCTTCTATTTAAGCGACCCTTTAATGAACATTACTTAAAACTCTTCTTCCCAATTTATGATTGTCATCTTACATAAAACCCTACAAGATTAGGAAAATGAGCTTGCAGTGACAAGTGACTACCATTTCACATAGAAGATTTGAAACTCTGAGCTATACTAACAATTAGCTTGGTCTCTAGCTATCCCTTAGACAGTAACATTTCAAATGTAAAGTACCAACTTCAGAAAAGTTTATATCAAAGTGTTGACTTATGAGAAACGGAAACACTAGCACAATGGAAAATGCCTGAGACATATTTGGAAAATGTATAACCAAGCCTAAAAACTTAAGTCAATTCTTAAAAGTGGTTCTGTTTATAGAAGTCAACAATTCTATTTTCTAAGTTGTATAAAATACTAGTAAAATATCTCTGAATTCTAAATAAGTTTCTGTAGCACTTCAGTAATGGCAAGAAATTAACAGATAATTCCTTAGCAATATGATATAAAACACTTCAAAGAGATCAAGTAAAACAAAACTGTGAGTGATAAGTTAATAAACTGAATTTAAGTTTTTAGTTTTAAAAAACTTAATTTTTTTTTAAAAAGTTTCTCGACATGCTCTGCATGACTTCATTCATTCCTCACAAACATAAACATTCCAAAGTTAGGATCATCAACATTCTCGTGTTTAACTTCGAGTAAATACTCAAGTTCACCTGTAAATCTGTCTTGCTTCTGTCAAGATTTTCTGTTTCTCTGCCTTCTATTACTCACCAACTGCATCTGGATTTACCGGTCTGGAGACATCAGCTTGCCCCATGATTATATTGTCTGATGTATCTCACGACAACAAACTGTCCCGGACAAAAGCAAACTTTTCTTAAAAGATAAATCCACATAAAGAGGGGACATGTGATCCTCTCTCAGTGTCACTGCCAAACATCAGGAGAGGGCATGAAGTCAGTTCATCTGCTGAGGTTTCTGTTTCCCATACAGCCTGGGCACTCGTAGTTCTTACAAAACTGTCTTCACACTGGCTCTCTTCACACAGAAATGCCTGTCATTCCAGAATGCACACTGTGTAGAGCTGAAGTGCAGGAAGGGGAGGAGACTGCCAACAACATTCTAGCTGCTGACTGGCATAGCTCAGAAGTCCACACCCCCTGTTCCTGACTTTGAGTTTGGTTGGAACTCTCCAAGCTCTGAGTCACAGAAGAAAGGGAGCCTGCTCAAGAGCATGCCAAAGAATTTACAAATGTAATCACAGGATGGTTATGAGTAAAAGGCTAATAGGACCAGTAGTCCATTCAAAGGTATGTTTTAGACACAAGTTTACCTCAAAAGTACCAGATTTCACTGTGTTATGGACTGAATGTTTGTGTCCCTTTACAGTTTACATATTGAAATTCTAACCCCCAATGTGATAGTGATAGGAAGTGGGTTCTTTGGGAGATCATTAGGTCATTGAGGTAAAGCCCCCACTAATAGGATTGGTGCCTTATCAAAAAGGACCCAGAGAGCTCTCTCTTTCCATCATGTGAGGGCACGCAAGACAACTGTCTGAAAACCAGGAAGAAGGTCTTCATAGATACCCTGGCACCTTGATCTTGGACTTCCCAGTATCCAGAACTGTTAGAAAGAAATGTCTGTAGCTGGGCGTGGTGGCTCTTGCCTGTAATCCCAGCACTTTGGAGGCCGAGGCTGAAGGATTACTTAAGCCCAGGAGTTCAAGATCAGCATGGACAACATACTGAGACTCTGTCTCTACAACAAATTTAAAAATTAGCCAGGCAAGGTGGCATGTGCCAGTAGTCCCAGCTAATGGAGGGAGGGGAGGTGTGGTGGGAGGATTGCTTGAGCACAGGAGGTGAGTTGTGAGCTGTGATTACACCATTGCACTCCAGCCTAGGCAACAATGCAAGACCCTGTCTCAAAAATAAATAAAAGAAAGAAAGAAAAGTTTGTTGTTTAAGCCCCCCAGTCTATAGTATTCTGTTATAGTAGCCTGAACAGACTAAGACACGCTGCTTATTCTAAAATTTTATTTCCTACCTGTAGGTGGGCATGCCCAAAGCAGGGTGCGATCTATGTACTGGGAATTAATAACATTAGAAACAATATTTTAGGGTTGAATATACCTTTTCTGAGAATACAAACAAATATTTCTGAAAATCTGTTTACTAAAACAATAAGCTTGAAATAAATATTTGGAAGGTATTATATAATAGTTCGCTTCCTGCTAAAACTCAATAATCTCCATATGATCTCGGGGAATAAAAAAAATACAGGGAGTAGCCCTACATGCTGGGCATAATACATGGAAATATCAGCTAATCACATGCAGCAAATGAAGGTCCAATTTGTACACTGATTTTTCTTTTTTTATCCATAACTAACTTAAATACAGCCAAGTACATAAATATTAAGGATATAGCTTGATAAATTTTTATTTAGTATACTACCATAAATTTTCTAAATGTAAAAAAAAAAACCACACATAACACAACCTTAACATATCCTCCACATAACCTGGATTATTCCACTAACATCTAAAGGTAAAAGAGGAAGCTAACAATTTTGATTACTGTATTAAGGAGTTATATATTAGTTACTGCATTTAATCATCACCACAACTAACCATGCATTGGAGGTATATTTATTTACCCTATTTTCAGATAAGAAAACCATGGATAGTAAGGTCAAATCCTGTGTCTTATATCACCAAGCCTGTAAGTACCAAAGCCCTAATATTCATTCAATAAAAGACAGATACCCTTGGGTGCAGTGGTGTGCACCTGTAGTTTCAGCTACTCAGGAGGCTGAGGTTGGGAAGATCACTGGACCCCAAGAGTTTGAGTCCAGCCTCGGCAACATAGTGAGCCCTATCTCTAAAAAAAAAGAAAAAAAGTAAAATAATTTTTTTTTAAATGACAGCTACAAATAATAGAAATTTTCATTTAAATCTTTGTTCTCCAAACTGAGATCCCAGAAAGATTTCTAGCATCTGAACTTTCTCTTACTTAGCCTATCCTTGGTACATTCTCTTCTCTCTTATTATCTTAGCCCCATTATCTGCTTTTGATAGAGGAAGAAAAAAAAAAAAACCAGCAAAGGTAACAAATAAGAAAACGTCAATGCTAAGGCATCAGTAAGGGGAAAAAAGTACAGAAACATTCAGACAACATTAAGTTACTACCAATATTAATTGGTAGTAATTAGAAAAACATTAAGATATTGACCATATAGGAAAGAGAGTAAAAGGAAAAATGCACTGAAACTACAATTCAATTAATAATGCCCAATACTTGGGAACCTAGGTACTTATATATATTAGCCTAAAATCAGACCATGAGCATAAGCAGTTTCCACTGCTGTAAAATGAGAATACAAAAGGTGGCAAATGTATTGCATGGCACTCAGGAGGTGCTCAACATACTGTAATTAACAACATTGTTATCACCATCATCGTCATCATGGAGCCAATACAGCATATTGCTTAAGAGCATGAGCTTTGGAGTTAGATTGAAATTTTAATTCCAGCTCTACCACTCATTAAGTGTTAACACTAGGCAAGTTACTTCACCTCTCTAAGTCTCAGTTTTCTAATGTTATAAAAGTATACAACAATAATTACTAGTGCAAGGTTGGGCGCGGTGGCTCACACCTGTAATCCCAGTACTTTAGGAGGCTGCCTGTAATCCCAGCACTTTAGGAGGCCAAGGTGGGCAGATCACCTGAGGTCAGGAGTTCGAGACCAGCCTGACCAACATGGTGAAACCCCGTCTCTACTAAAATACAAAAGTTAGCCAGGTGTGGTGGCGGGTACCTGTAATCCCAATCCCAGCTACTCAGGAGGCTAAGGCAGGAGAATCACTTGAACCTGAGAGGTGGAGGTTGTGGTGAGCTGAGAGAGATCACGCCATTGCACTCTAGTCTGGGTGAAGACTTTCTCAAAACAAACAAACAAACAAAAAAAAAACAGCTAAGTCTAGGCCTGGCACAGTGGCTCACTCCTGTAATCCCAGGACTTTGGGAGGCCAAGGCAGGCAGATCACCTGAGTTCAGGAGTTTGAGACCACCCTGGCCAATGCGGTAAAACCCCCATCTCTACTAAAAATACAAAAGTTAGCCAGGTGTGGTGACTGGCACCTGTAATACTGGCTACTCAGGAGGCTGAGGCAGGAGAATCGCTTGAACCTGGAAGGCAGAGGTTGCAATGAGACAAGATTGTGCCACTGCTCTTCAGCCTGGGCAATAGGGCGAGTTTCTGCCTCAAAAAAAGAAGGAAAGAAATGCTAAGTCTATTACTTATGTGCCAATACACTACATGTTGCCTGACCATCGTGTTCCATTTTTCTTCTAATAATCAGTATTTACTCTGTGCTAATTGGTAAGCAGACAAGCAGAAAGGTAGGACGGTACTGGCACACTAATGGCATTAAAATGAACAATAAAGCCTTGAGTTCACTTTAATTTTCCATGCATTATGTTTTAGAAATGCAAAAGGAAGTCTGACTTTAACTTTGTAAGAGGTAGACAGCTATCTCTTGTTATTTGTTAGCTAATAAGTTAACTCCCTTTTTAGAGTACTTTTTCCTTCACAGCTTAGTGCCTCAAGGGGAAGTAGTAGAATTAAAATTTGTGATTCTTTTCCTATTTTATTTAGGGAAAGGTCAAGAAACCTTAGGTCAGGTGCAGTGGCTCACACCTCTAGTCCCAGGACTTTGGGAGGCCAAGGGTGGCAAATCACTTGAATCCAGGAGTTCAAGACCAGCTTGGGCAACATTGTGAAACCCTGACTCTAAAAAAAACAAAAAACAAAAAATTAACCAGGCATGGCAGCACATGCCAGTAGTCGCAGCTACTTGGGAGGCTGAGGCAGAAGGATTGTTTGAGCCCAGGAAGCAGAGGTTGCAGTGAGCTGAGATGGTGCCATTGTACTCCAGCATGGATGACAGAGTGAGACCCTGCCTCAAAAAAAATTAACATGCTAGAAAAATAAGATTTAATGACAAAGGAATTGAAGCTACCATTGAGATTTAGACAGCACTTAAAGCCCTCTAACGAAAGCCTTTTTTATCTTTATTTTTTTTTAGAGACAGAGTCTTGCTTTGGTCACTTAGGCTGGAGTGCAATGGTGCAATCATAGCTCACCGTAACTCCTGGCCTCAGGCAATCTTCCCACCTCAGCCTCCTGTGTAGCTAGAACTTCAGGCATATGCCACCCACCCAGGTAATTCTTAAATTTTTTTGTAGAGACAGGGTCACACTATGTTGCCCAGGCTGGTCCCAAACTCCTGGTTTCAAGAGACCCTCCCTGGGAAGGCCTAGGGGGAGAAAAATTTAAAGTTGTACTTTATAAATAAATAAATAAATAAATGGAGATCCTTTAGCCTTAGCTTCCCAAGATGCTGGGATTACAGGCATGAGCCACTGCACCCGACCCAAGCCTTTCTTGTTTTATTGAAGAACTGTTTCTAATTACCATGTATCGCCTCTAAATTGCTGGGCATACCAAAGATATTCTTTTCCTAAAAGCCTAGATTTGGACAGTTCCACAGGTAATGCTCAACAGAGAAACTTAAGATCATCAGCTAACAGCACAAGTTGCTCCAAAGCAGGCCGCATAAATCTAAATTGAATTTCTCATCAGCAAGCCATGAATTGTTCCTTCCCTCCATTAAGCTAATGCTAATTTGTTAAAATTGTTTATAAGCAATAAGAATTATAGAATATCTTTCCTAGGTTCCATCCAGAAGATGAGGAAGACTTTATCCTCCTTTTTCTGAACAAACTATAGTTTGATTGTCTTCTTATATGTTAGTCATTGGACTTCATTTTACTAAAGACAGACTGAGATCACAGTAGGCTTGCACTGTTCGTGTCTGAGCCAGAGTTCTTTCTGGAATGTGCTTGGTGTTTTAAATTCACTATAAAAATTGTATTATAGTGAATTAACTTGTAGTGAGAATATGTATTTTCAGTTGAAAACCATGATCTCTAAGTGTATCTAAATCCTTCTCTTGCTGGTTGAAATTTTATTATTATTATTATTTGAGACAGAGTTTTGTTCTTGTCTAGCAGGCTCAAGTACAATGGTGCGATCTTGGCTCACTGCAACCTCCACCTCCTGGGTTCAAGTAATTCTCCTGCCTCAGCCTCCCAAGTAGCTGGGATTAAAAGCACCTGCCACCAGGCTCAGCTAATTCTGTATTAGAGACAGGGTTTCACCATATTGGTCAGGCTGGTCTCAAACTCCTGACCTCAGGTGATCCGCCCACCTCAGCCTCCCAAAGTGCTGGGATTACAGTGGTAAGCCACTGCGCCTGGACCCATGTTTATATGTTTAATAAAGCTTATAAGATCAATCCCAAGAGTATAAAGCTTTAAATTAAATATACTTTTATGCTGAAGTATGAATACAAATTGGATTACCTAGGAAAATAAGCTCTTGACTAATATAATTATAGCTCCCTCAGCTTAATTCAGCATACTTCTTTCTTATGACTTGAGATGTCTCAGGGAGGTAAACTCCAGTGAGGTTAGGAAGAAGTCACTTTCCTCTAGGACAGGATGACCAACAGAAATTACTAACAAATCACACGAATACATATTCACATCAAAGACTAATC